TGGAGAGTGATTATGTGGAGCAAATGGTCCCTCTTCGAGTTTGTGCCTTGGATCTGGACTCAAAGAGGTCCAGAGACCTTAACCCTTGGAGCTTTATGGATTAGTTTGGGGTTATTGGACTTAGGTTGCCATTTTTGGGACTAAATCTCCTTTTGATGCCTTGTTGTTGTTATACAAGCATCAAGTTTCGAGCTTTACGTGACATTCATGCTTGGGAAGGCCAGATCTTTGATTTAGGGAAACAGATCTGACCTCAGGAGGCCAGTAGAGTTTGTGCATGGCATGAACTCGCCGAGTTGTTCCTGAGACTCGGCGAGTAGGGTTAGGGTTTCACGTAAATTGCTCAGTGAGTAGACTTGCTGAGTTGGGGGATGACTCAGTGAGTCAGAAGGGAGTTAGAGGACTGGAGTTCAAGGCGGCACTCGCCGAGTTGTTCTTGAGACTCGGCGAGTTGAGTCGTGGTGGCCCCGCGATTCATGCCTAGTATGACTTGTCAAGCATAGGGAGGGACTCGGCGTGCCAAGCGGGACAAAGTGTTAAAGAACATGTGTGAACTCGCCGAGTCACCAGAGTGCACTCGGCGAGTAGGGTCAAAGTGTGACCGTTGACTTTTAGGGTTTGGTCAATGGAGTACTTGTGTTGAGAGGGGGTAAAATAGCCTTTTTCCCTCCTGAGGGTGCCAAAGGCAGGTTGAGTCTAGTCTTGAGAATTATATTTATAAGAGTATTTACTTTATGTGAATAGGCGAAGACTAGGCAATATTCCTACCGAGTCAGAGATTTACCGAGACACCTGAGGTGAGTCTTCTCACTATACTTTACCTAGTGTGGTAACAGAGTTATGTGATAGAGTATTTTAGAGTTATATGCCAGTGTAATTGCATGTTATTTATGTGCTATGATTTATTGTGATATGTGCTATGTATGATTCAGAGTTACAGAGTTAGGACCTTCGGGTCCACAGAGTTAGGACTTTCGGGTCACAGAGTAGGGCCAGAGGGCCCATAGAGAGTTGGGGCGGAGGGCCCCACTGAGACACATAGACCTGAGGGTCAACAGAGTTACAGCCTCGAGTGGCTATTATGTGTTAGAGTGGTATTTTGGGGAACTCACTAAGCATTTATGCTTACAGTGTTATGTGTTATGTGTTTCAGGTACCAGCGATGATCGCGGGAAGGCACCGACATGATTCGTACACACGCATACCGGAGTTTATATATGTATTTTAATCTTGGGTTTTGTATTGATACAATGTTGATATAATGATTTGTTTATGAATTCAAATGATATTTTAAGGGTTACAAAAGTGAAAAATTCTTCAAATTTTTATGGTGTTACAGCTAAGCCCTGGGATTTACGACTTGCACCTAACCCTAGTAGAGCTGAATTTCTAAGAGCATTCTCTCCTCTCATCCTCTTGCAAAGAGTGTTTGTAAGCCATTAGAGGTGTCGTATTGAGGCACTTGTTCTCAAGAGTTCAAGACTTACAATTTTCTTGTTATTACTACGTAACAAGTAAGGTACACATCTAAACCATATTTTGTATAGATTTTGAATTATGTACTAGCTTCCTAGGGTTTTCTCTTTGATATTCAAGTTTGTATATTCAACTAGTGAAAACCTAGATCCTTAATCTTAGGGTTGCATGAACACATATGATTTGTAGCTAAGCTCATAACCCATCAGTGGTATCAGAGCCTTGCATGCATTTCAGTTGAATTTGATGCAATTGCAAATCAGCCATAGGAGAAGGGAGTAGAATCGTCATTCTATTCATTGAATTCAATGAGTTCATGTTTGGAACTAGACGATTTAGCCCAACTCGACGAGTGTCTTGCTCATACTCGGCGAGTTGGCTTGTCAGATCCTTGATTTTTCGATTTTGATAATCTTGGCTTGATTAGGAAAATTACCTTAATCTGTTTTTTTCTAGTTAAAATAGAATCTTTTAAAAACGGTAATTGGATATCCTTATCAAAAGTTATGATTTGGTTAAAATTTTAAGATAAAGATAAAATTAATTTATTAACTTTATTATTTAAAAATTTTAACCTAGTATTTTTTGAAAAGTTTTAAAAACTACCCCCTTAGTTTTGGAATTTAATATTTAATTAAATAGTTTAATCTTGAAAACTTAAATTCTAGAACTCTAGTATTTTAAATGTTTAAAATACACCCTTTATATATTATATATATATATATAACGAAAAGGCCAGTCTACCATTAGTAGGACTCATTCACGAAGCAAGTTTATAAGGGGTGTTTAAGGAAGCGCCTTATAAAATGACCACCATTGGGTATCCATTCTTACCCACCGCACCCTTGACTAGTGTAGGGTCGTTAGTGGAATGGGTTTGATAGGATATTAAACTCTCATTAATAAGTATAAGGAAGTAAATAAAGTAACTAAACATTTTCATAAAATTCTCAATCCTAATTACTTTAGGAAAATGTGAATTTGATGTTAATCCATGAAATTGCAAATTACACTCTATAAAAGTCGTTAGTGGAGCGTGTGTGGTTAACCGACACACTAATATGTACAAATAAAGGGTGGCAATGGGTAGCTCGTAAATTATCATTGATCAATGGAGCGTGTGTGGTTAACCAGTACATTGATTAGGCGGTAAATGACATTGAGAGTACCAAGCTATTTTGCATGGTTATTCACACCTAGTTTGTGATCCTCGGTATCCCAGTCACAAATGGAAAGGGCATAATCGAAATTAAACATGCCATTGAATAGTTCAATGAATCTCAAAAGATCTAGGAATTTCATTTAAAAACCTAATTCTTTTAAATTTCGTTTTTCTTGGTGAAATTGGTAAATCATCATTTATGTACCTTCAAATAATTTTCGATTGGATTACGGAATCCCTTTTATAAATTGTGAATTATTATGTTGGGTCCTAGACTTAACATTTCATTTGGGTGTTATATTAAGGATTTCCTTATTTAATCAAAAAAAAAATTCTTTCTTCTTTTGCAGATGTCAACTTCCAACAATGCTTCTAGTTCCTCCAACAACAGCACCTCGAACACCTTCTCGCTCTTGAGCATTTGTACCAAGGTCACATTCGATGGCTCCAACTTTAATGATTGGATGTGCAACATTAGGATGGCCTTGCGATTCGAGGTCAAGGAATATGTCCTCGACAAAGAGTTGAATGAGATAGATGAAACAAAAGCTACTCCTAAAGAAATAGCTGAGTATAGGGCCCACTGTAAAGATGTGACCAAAGTGTCGTGTATCATGGTTGGAAACTATGATCCTGAGCTACAATGGTTTTATGAGGACTATTGGCCTTATGAGATGTGAAAGGACTTGATGGAGAATTACCATCAAAGAGCATGTCAAGAAATGTATGAAGCCCCCTCCCTCGAAACAGAACTGGAAGGGAAAGTCTAGTTTTGAAGCCCCCTCCTCTGGTCCAAAAGAGGCTGCCTGCTTCTACTACCATGACAAAGGGCATTGGAAGAGAAGCTACCCCAAGTACCTGCAAGATATAAAGGATGTCAAGATCAAGTCAACCTCGATAGGTGTTTACACTATTCAATCAAAAAACTCATCGCATTCTAATTCTTGGGTCCTTGATATAGGATGTGATTTTCACATTTGCTCTGACTTGCAGGGACTAAGAAGAAGTGAGGATGTAGAGCATGGGAAGATAAACCTAGTTATGGGCAATAGGAGGTCATCACCTATTACCAAGATTGGGATTTACTCTTTAGTTCTTAGTAGTGGGTTAAGTTTATATTTAAATAATTGTTGCTACTCGTCAGAAATGACAAGAAATATTATTTCATTTCATGGTTTGTACAGACAAGGTTTTAGATATTCTTTTAATAATGAAAATGGTTTTATTAATGCTTATTGTAATGGTGTATTTTATTTTGAAGCATTACCTTGTGATGGTGTATATGAAACTATGACTGTTATAGACAATTTAGGAAATAGCATGTTGCAAATTGATGCGTCTAATGGTTTAGAAAAAGCATGCTT